TTTTTTTTTTTTTTTTGAGACCACGTCTCACTCTGTCACCCAGGCTAGAGTCCAGTGGAGAGAACGCGGCTTTACTGCAGCCTCGATCTTGCGGGCTCAAGCGATCTTCCTGCCACGGCTTCCCAGGTAGCTGGGTCTACAGGCACATGCCACCATACCTGGCGAATTTTTTGATTTTTTGTAGAGATAGGGCCTCATTATGTTACCCAGGCTGGTCTTGAACTCCTGGCATCAAACTATCCTCCCAACTTGACCTCCCGAACTGCTGGGATTACAGATGTAAGCCACTGTGCCATGTTTTGGAATATCTCTTTTTCGTTTGTACTACTGCCATCTTGGTCTAAGCCACTATCAAACCATACTTGGATTATTTAATTTTTTTCTCTTACCTACCTCCTTTCTTGTACCCCTCTACCATTCATTACCCTTACAAAGTTGAATAAACTTTTATAAATATAAATCGTATTATATTACTCCCCTGCCTAAAATCGTAATAATTTCTCATAGCTTCAGTCATAGTGGCCTTCCTTCTACCACTTTAGGGTCTTTGTACTCACTGTGTGCTCTCTCTGTGGAAGGCTTTGTCTCCATGACTGGCTGTTGCCTACCACTGAGGCCTCAGGTCAAAGTCACCTCAGAGAGGCCTTCCCCTTTAAGTTCTTCCAAATTCTGCTTCCAATTATTCAGTTTCTAGCCTGGAGGCTTCCAGTACTTATTCTTAAATAGATCGTTCCAGAGATAGTTAATGTGTACATTATATATGTGTAAACTAGGTATACGCAAGTAAATATGCATGTATATATTCCTTTTAAGTTTTTAACTGTTGGTATTATAACTGTTTCTATGCCTTGATGTTTCAGTTACCATATCTCAAAGCTTATACTATGTAAGTGCATAAAGATTTTTTTTTGTAAATAGGTATATCATAATTTATTTAACCAATCCCTTTTAGATGGACATTTAGATTATTTCTAGTCTTTGCAATTCCAAACAATTCTGCAATGAATAATCTTGTATATATAACACTATACACAAGTAAGTAGACCCTTATTATGTTCTGGAAATAAGCATGCTTCAGTAATTTGAAGGTCCTTCAATATTTTTTGGATTGTTTAATGAAAACAAATCATTTGAAAATGATTTCATTACATTTTGCCTTGAGATTAGGAAAACATTTAAAAATTAGTTCCAGTAACTATCTTCTGTTACCAATTGTATAGGAGATGTTAGAAGCTCTCAAGGCACTTTCAACCTTTTTTGTTGAAAATAGTCTGAGAACTCGAAGAAATTTACGTGGAGATATTGAACGTAAAAGTTTAGCCATCAATGAAGAATTTGTAAGCATTTTCAAGGAAGTGAAGGAGGTATGTAAACTCTTTTCATTTAGCATATGTTGAGAACTTACTGTTATACCTGGCTCTGTGCTAAGTATTTTTTTGAATTAGATTGATATATTTGCTATTCGTATACTATGCCCAAATAGAAAACTAGCTAATTTCTCTTGCTGCATTTGGGTCTTTATTTGTATTAATGTGATTTATGAATCTGTGACTTCCACAAATACTAATTCTTAGAAAGTTGCAACATTGTTCTAGAAGATTATCTTAGGAATTTTAGCTTTTTTAACAAAAACATTAACATTTCCCTGAATGGCTTTCCAATAGAAATATCCCCTCATTGAATAAACCTCTCTTGGATAACAACTTCTCTATTGGAGATTAATTAGAATTGAGTTACTTTTACTATATCCTAAAATACAAAAATTTCAGATTAATATCAGTAACTTCAATGTATTAATAATGATTCATCATACTTGAGAGTGTAGTCCACTCACCAGAGTGAAAATAGATTTTGTTTATGTTATTATATCTTATTTATTATGTAATATTTTATTAACTATTAATACATTATAATATTAATATATTTCTCTGCGAGTTATGGAAGTGTTGCACATGGTTTCAATGAGTGTTCAATAAAAATAGATTGTTTTAACACCTTGGTAGGTTTTTATTGACTGAAGACTAATCATTTGGAAAGGATTTTTTTTTAATTACATTAGAGATGGAATCTTGCTATGTTGCCCAGGCTGGAGTGCAGTGGCTGTTCCCAGGTGTGATCATAGTACACTATAGCATTGAACTCCTGGGCTCACTCAATTCTCGCACCTTAGTCTCCCAAGTAAGTGGGAATACAGGTGTGTGCCACCATGCCTGGCTCTTTTAAACATCATTTCCTACTAAAAGGAACAATCGTTTCAGTATCAGAAAGCAAAGATGCTATCTGAGATGACTGGATAAATGTCAAAAGGACTTTGGAGCTAATATGAAGAGGATTCTTCTACTGGCCAAACATAGGACTATTTGAACATCAATAAGAATAACTGCAGTTGAATAACACTAGGAATAAAGGGATATTCAGTTTTATAAAGCATTTGCCATTTTCCTGTGGTCATATTCTCTAAAAGGAATGGACTATTTTCTTTACAGTTTTTCTAATACTAGATGTTATTATTTTTAATCATTTCCATTTTTAAATATGGGATCTCTTGTCATGCCTTGACCAAAAGAAAATTTATGTAACTAAAATAACGATTTAGCTAAGAGAAGAGAACCTTTTTCTTACTGTATATATGATGTGTGATGTTACTTTTCTCCTTTTCAGGAACTTGAAAGCATAAGTGAAGATGTTCAAGCAATGAGCAACTGCTGTCAAGATATGACAAGTCGCCTACAGGTGTTGTATAATGGCTAGATTTTGGCATAGTTCCCGCTATAAAGTAAACTTTCAAAAATTATTAGGTCTACAAAATGTATAGATATCTAATCCATAATGCCCTGTAGGAAATTTGGGTATAAATATAATCCTTATTTTAAAAAATTTTAGATATCTTTGTGTTTCTTTGGATAATGATTTATTAATATTGTTCAATTGACTTTAGAGCATTTATATTTTGGTCTAGCCAGTACAGAGCTAACTATGTAGAATTGTGATAAACCTTTCAATTCTATAATATTCTAGAAATCTAGGAGGAATTTTCTTTTAGTACGAAGCCTTAGGATTAATTTCACACTAAAGCTGTGCCTGCTAAAGACCCAGCTTAATTCTGATTTATGCATAGCCTTAAAACAATTCTGGGAAAATATGTATAATTTTAGGTCTTTTAATGAAAGCAGTTGTAAACTTACAATTTGGCAGCAGAATCAGCATTTTGACTTAATGACCCTCAGTCATCTAGTTTTGGAGTAGTACATAGAACAGTTTCCTCCTAAGGGCCAATCATGATTACGTCTACTACCTTCACATTTTAAGAGCAAGCTTCTATCTCTAAGTGTCTCCTGGAACCATTGACATCAACAGGGATTCTAGGAAGAATCATTAATGCATATTCTATAGATTAATCACAGCCTACTTGCATCATCAGTTTGCAGGACTAGTTAATTTCTTGTTTCTCTAAAATTTTATCTTTTCTGGTCTTGTCTAAATTTTGATATTCTTACTAACCTATCAGATATTATTGGCATGTTTATTGTCTCTCAATCCAATATTTAGATATTTGTTAATTTGACAATATTTAAATAATTATATAGTATATACTAATTATTAATGGCCATTTCACATTTTTGGCATATATTTACTTTATTCCTCAGTGGTTGATTTTGTTTGACCCTTCTTTTTCTTTAACTTTTTTATTTCCTTTTCTCATCTTTTAGTCTCCATAATGTAATGCCTTTCCTCAAATTACACTTTATAATGTTTTCTATATTGTACCTTTGTGTTTTTTAAATAATATTATGCTCTGTAATATTAGACTACTCGGTTTCCAATTTTTAGTGGTAGTATCTCTTATTTTTTAATTTGTACCCTTATATTTTTATACTTTTCATCATAGAGAGTTTTAAATATAAAAAGATCATAGTATTTTTATTCTTCGTGCTATTTTTCAAATAGTTTATAAATATTTTAAATTACAACCGAAGTGTCTCCTTCTGTTTTGTCTTTTTTTTTTTTTTTTGAGACAGAGTCTCACTCTATCCTCAGTGGTGCGATCTTGGCTCACAGCAACCTCCACCTTCTGGGTTCAAGCAATTCTGTCTCAGCCTCCCAAGTAGCTGGGATTGCAGGCGCCTGACACCACACCGGGCTAATTTTTGTATTTTTAATAGAGGCAGGATTTCGCCATGTTGTCCAGGCTGGTCTCAAACTCCTGACCTCAAGTGATCCGCCTGCCTCGGCCTCCCAAAGTGCTGGGATTACAGACATGAGCCACCATGCCTGGCCAGTCCTTTATATTTTCTTTGCACCCACCTTACATCCTATTTTTTCTTCTATAGTGACATGGGCCTATTTTCTTTCTTTATTCAGGTCAACTTTATTGCGGAATAATTTATGAATGGTAATAAACTGCACCCATTCAAAGTGTTCATATTGATAGGGTTGACAGTTTTATACACCTGTGAAACAACAACCATAATCAAGATACAGAACATTTTTATCACCTATAAAAGATTCTCTCATAGCTTTTTGATTGAATATTTAAAAATATTTGATACTGCCTATTGCTTACATTCGTTTTTGATCCACATATCATTTCTAATAGTAGGAGGTCCATGATTTTGAAGGTTTTGTTTATTCCTTCAAATTATGCTTAAAGGTAATTTATCTGGATATAGCACTATTGGAATTCTAATAGTATATGTTCATAATATCAACTCTAATGTTCTTAAGTTATTCATTCATAAAGAAAAGTATTTCTTAGAGTATCCTCCCTGTTTTTCTTGTAGAATGTTGTTATAATGATTCATTTAATTATTTAATATTTTCTGAAATGCTTTGACTATGGTACCTTTTAGAAATTATTAGAAAACATTTAAAAATGTAATCGGTAGTTTCATATATGTTATTGTTTATT